ATTTTTACGTACTAAACTCTTAGTGATGCTCACGTCGCCTATTCTAATTTCAGATTCCATGAAGAACTTTACTTCTTAGCTTTGATGTTTTCTAACTCTAAATAGAAGAATATAAATCCAACCTAGAGTTAAACATTTTAGTTCTAATCTATGCATATTACTTAGGAAGTTAAACTAAAGAATAAGATACAAAAGTAGTTATTCAATTTAAAAAGCCTCTTGATATCTTTATTGAACCTCAAAGCGAAATTGAACAGACTAATTAAATTAGATAATTTTTTATTTTATGTCAAAGCTTCATAGTTTGCAACAACTATCTTCAGATTGACATCTGTGTTTTTTGGGGAAATTAAAATCCTATATGTGCTTTATGTACATACAGACAAACAATAAATGTGGTTGCAAGATTATTAGCGAGAGGCATGTTGCCTTACTTTTTTTATGAAGTGGAACTTTTGTTTTCCTCTAAACCACGTATACATCATACACTCTATGAAGTTCATATACACATAGAAAGAACACATATAGTATAATTTAAGATTAAAACAATACAATTTTAAAATTATTATTTTTTAATACTGCTTAAGTACTGTTATTGTCTGTTTTCTTCATGCAGTGCTGATGATCTGGAGGATCATATTAGTTACAATTATCTCTTTAGTCCTGTTAGGATTCACCCTCCGTTTTTGTACAAGAAGGATGGGTAAGAAAAACTATAATACAACATTATTAAGCTGTTGTTTTGATTCAAACCGACTTTTTAAATGTTAAATTGATATTTTACTTGTATTTAAAAAATGATCAAACTGAATTTACTGAATTACCCCTCAAAAAAGTTTCTTTAATATTTGTGTTTTTCTTTTAGTGAAACATTCAGATAGGTAAGAAATCTCAGTATATTCATGGGATCTGTTGCCTTCATTAGATTTTCCATTTCTTTCTTGTTTAGTTTCAGATTTTACACCACTGTTGGAGAGGGAACATAATTTGGGATTGTCAGACTCTTCTTCACTTTAAAGACCTGAAGATTTGCTTTTTCTGGCATTCTATTTGCACAAAGGTCAAAAGTGACACAAATAACTTCTACAGTTGGGGTTGAAAATTAGTATCAGTATTTTTTTAAACAGTCTTTTTAAATCCTCAGTTCAGTATTGCGAATTTATTTATTACAGATATAGTTATGTGTCATCTGGTGACCAGAACTGACTATTTTAAAGTATGACCAGCTCTCACCACTGACCACCTCATTGGTATCTCCATAATACAATTTTCCAAACAAGAAACACACTGTAGACAACTGTACAACCTCTATACAATAACCTTGATTCTGTTACTTAGAGATGTTTTTGAGGGTCATTGGTCAGTTCATGAATGCATTTAATAAAGAGTGGATCATTTATAATATGCTTTGATACATTAAATACTACGTAATAACTAGAGGCCGTAATTTTTACTTCTTCTGTATCTAAAATGTGTCTTTTTAAAATCTCCATTTTATTAAACACACAATGGATAACTTTTTTTTTTTCCTTTGTTGCTTTAGATCAAAAACTGAAATATCAGGTAGATGAAATAAAGTTCCTTACTCATCAACAAAAAGTGATTTTTTTTTCACCCCTTTGCCAGGCAGCAGTAATAATATCTTTTTGCTTTAATGCTTTCTTATATAAAATATCTCTTTTTGATCTTTTTCAGTTGAACAAATGCCAATGTTCATTTTAAACAACAAAGAGGTTTGTTAAAGTACCCTGTGCTAAAATGATAACATGATGCATTAAGCAAATGTTATTTTTCCAATGAAAATGTCCTTCTCCATGTTATTACATCATTTACAGGCAGGATGTAATGAACCTGCAGGGCTGCTAACTGCAGCTGCAACACTGGTAAGCTGTTAGTATTTGTGAAGGAACTATAACGTTCAAGGTAGCTTGGCCACTAGGGGGAGCAATAGGTGAAAAAGTCGAGCAAAACATTTCTACAGGGATTTTAATAAATGCCTTTTTGCTTTCACAGAGTAACAACTGAATGCCAGAGCCTCAGACAACTGCAGCCAGACTGAGTGTAAATAAAAGTCATTTAGATGATCCATTATGTTTTATCTGCTGTGATTACTAATACTTGCATTATAATTTTGTTTTCCTAATTTTATTGCCTCTTTAAGGATTTTGTAACAGTCTTAATATAAAAACTTTGCCTGAACTTACTAAATACCATAAACTGATTTAAACTGATCAAAAAGTTACTCCTAGATATTTTCAGATATATTGTAATGAATCAAACTGATTAAATGACTCCTTTATTGGGGAGTGGCAGCCTAGTTGTTAGGGCATAGAGCTTGGAATCCTGAGGTCCTGAGATCGAGCCTCACTCCCACAGACTGCCACTCTGGGTCTTTGAGCAAGACCCTTAACCACATACTGCTCCCCGGGCGCCGCATGATGGCAGCCCACTGCTCCCCAAGGGGATGGCTTAAATACACAGGTAAATTTCTCCAATCTGAAATAAAGTTCAATTATATTATTATTTTAGAACTGCTATGTTAAACATTATGTACATTTTCTTTTTGGTGAATTATTTTTTTTTATTTAAAAAGTTTTTTGTTGCTTTTTGGATAAATAAAGTTATTATGGACATAACTCTGGTGTATTTTATTTGTGGGAATATTTAGCCTAAAACCAGTTTACTAACATTGCAAATTTTTTCTTGAGTTACATCATGCACTACATATCTTTAATTAAGATATTTGTTTAACCTTTTTTCTTTTAAATCTGTGATCAAAAAGCTGCCTCTGAGGACACTTAATAGGAATCAGAAAGGAAAGTCTAACCAACAGGATTGACTGCATTGCTTAAACATNCCACCCTTTCTGGGACCATTACCGCTCCGTGTGCCTTGAAAATAACAACTCTTTTTGTATGGCCAAATTTTGCTGAGCTGGGCAACCTTGAGATGTCAAATATTTCATTTTTATTGAGTGTGCTTTCTTATCACTAAGGGGCCTCAACCCTGCGTTGTCCTGCAGACTTCACTCCTATTGGCGCCAGGTGCAACAGCTACACATACTCACTGCTCTGCTTTTCTCCTCTCTGGCCTTGAATGGCTCCATTCATAGCTCTGTTTTTTCTTTTCCCTTTTGGCCTTGAATTGCTCTTATAACAGTATTTGGGAAAACAACTTTATTTTATCTTATGCTTAGTGCAGATTAATACACAACATTGGTCAGTTCATGAATGCATTTAATAAAGAGTGGGTCATTTATAATATACTTTGATACATCAAATCCTAATAATTGGAGGGTATCATTTTAACTTATTCTGTATCTAAAACAAGTCTTTTTGAAATCTCATTTCTATCTAACACACAGTGAATAACTTTTTTTTTTCCTTTGGTGCTTTAGATCAACAGCTGAAATATCAGGTAAATGAAATAAAGTTCCTTTCTTATTAACAAAAAGTTTTTTTTGACAACTTTGTCAAACAGCAGTAATAATAGCCTCTTGCTTTTATGCTTCCTTTTATAAAGTATCTCTTTTTGATCTTTTTCAGTTGAACAAATGCCAATGTCCATTTTAAACAACAAAGAGGTTCGTTAATGTACCTTGTGCTAAAATGATGCATTAAGCAAATATTATTTTTTCAATGAAAATGTCCTTCTCCACGTTATTACACCATGTACAGGCAGGATGTACTGAACCTACAGTGCTGCTAACTGCAGCTGCAACACTGGTAAGCTGTTAGTATTTATATAGGAACTATAACGTTCGAGGCAGCTTGGCCACTAGGGGGAGCAATAGGTGAAAAAGTCGAGCAAATCATTTCTAAAGGGATTTTACTGTAATGCATGCCTTTTTGCTTTCACAGAGTAACAACTGAATGTCAGAGCCTCAGACAAGTAAACTGCAGCCAGACTGAGTGTAAATAAAAGTCATTTAGATGATCCATTATGTTTTATCTCCTGTGATTACTAATACTTGCATTACAATTTTGTTTTCCTGATTTTATTGGCTTTTTAAGGATTTTGTAACAGTCTTAATATACAAGCTTGCTTGAACTTACTAAATACCATAAACTGATTTAAACTGATCAAAAAGTTACTCTTAGATATTTTCAGATATATTGTAATGAATCAAACTGATTAAATGACTCCTTTATTGGGGAGTGGCAGCCTAGTGATTAGGGCATAGAGCTTGGAATCCTGAGGTCCTGAGATTGAGTCCCACTTCCACAGACTGCCACTCTGGGTCTTTGAGCAAGACCCTTAACCACACACTACTCCGGGCACCACACGATGGCAGCCCACTGGGATGGCTTAACTGGTAAATTTCTCCAATCTGTAATCAATAAAGTTCAGTTATATTATTATTTTAGAACTTCTATGTTTAACAATATGTAGATTTTCTTTTTGTTGAATAATTTTTTGTTGATTAAAAATGTTTTTTGTTGCTTTCTGGATAAATAAAGTTATTATGGACATAACTCTGGTGTATTTTATTTGTGGGAATATTTTGCCTAAAACCTGTTTATTTACATTGCAAATTTATTCTTGAGTTACATCACACATCACATGCACTACATATCATTAATTAAGATGTTTGTTTCACCTTTTTTTGTATCTGTCATCAAAAAGCTGCCTCTGAGGACACTTAATAGGAATCAGAAAGGAAAGTCTAACCAACAAGATTTACTGCATTGCTTAAACATTTTAAAGTGAGAACATGCAAGGGATTCAGAACTGAAACATAGAAACCTAATAACATTTCTCTCAGTAAAGTTAGTGGTACAAAAAATCGATGGTTCCTTTTTTGGTATGGTTAATCGATACTGTGGGTCATGTGGTCTGAAACACCTATGCATTTTGTATGTGGTGTGTTTATAATAAGGTATATAAAGCACCTCTTCCTGTGGCAAGGAGGAGGGTCCTCTTCTGATCATGTGGATTATTTTAACAGTAGCTTCTGAATCTTATATAGGTCATAGTCAGATTAGACAGGAAACATACCAATGTTTTCTATTCAGAGCATCCAAAGCTTCATCATGGCTTTAGAGCTGCTGTTCTTCATTCTCCTAAGTAAGTTTGAGTGTCTTATTCTTGATATTTTATTATTTTTAATTCATTATGTTATATTAAGTCTGAGATTTTTTTAAATGTTCTGGAAATTAAAAATAAAAATATGCATTTATGAAAGATACACATGTTGAAACTACATTTTCTTTTCAATATCGGTTTCATAGATTTGTCTTATGAAGCCAGAGCTAAAGGTCAGTTTCAGTTAAATGTTTGTATGGTAAATACCTTTTTTTTGCTGATAAAATCTGACAACTAAATGCTTCTAAACTTTCAGCTCTTCCTCAACCTAAAGTAGAGGTGGATCGACTTCTGATCACAGAGACTGACTCGGTCACATTAAAGTGTTCAACCTCACATGTTAATGTTGATCAGTGTGTTTTCAACATTGAAAACAAAAAGATGTCTGCAGCCTCCTCCTGTGTGGAAACACTGACAGGATCTGAACTGTTGAGGATGATAGAGAAAAGATCACCAGTTGAGGTCAAATTTAAATGTTTCTACAGAGTAAAAGATGGAGATTTAAATGTTACATCATCAGACAGTGAATCAACAACCATCAACATAAACCGTAATATTTTTGTTAAAGATTCTTAAAACATGTTTACAGATATACTGAAAATTCCACACTTTTATTTTACATTTTCTGCTCTTTATTGTTCATGTTTTCAGACCTTGTTCCACCTACACTGACAGTGAACCAACCGGTGATCACAGAGACAGACTCTGTCACTTTAGACTGTCAGCCTCCATCTTCTGTTCCTGAGTGTTATTTCTTCATTGGGGGAGCAAGTCAAGCTCAGAGGTTTAATTGTCAGAAGACAATAAAAGGAGGAGAGATCTTGTCTTTAACACAGCGAAGGTCACCTGCTAACTTTGACGTAACATGTTTTTACCTTGACGCACATCAATCTCCAAACAGTAACTTGCTCACCATCATTATACAAAGTGAGTAAATATACCTTTGCCTGACTTTTCATGATTACTGTGGTGCTAAAATATTTAAAATTATTTTATTTTCATTATATTTTCAGTTCCTCCACCTGAGCTAATTGTGAATCCACAGCTCATCACAGAGACAGACTTAGTCACACTGAACTGTGGGACTCCATCATCTGTTTCTGTGGATAAATGTTTTTTATACTTCATAACATCAAAGATAACTAAAATCATCTCCTGTGAGCAGCCAATGTCAGGACGTGAGCTCCTGATGATGACACTTCAAACTTCACCTGCTGAGGTTGAACTAACATGTTATTACACTGTGAACAACACAGATGGAGGACAGCATCAGTCTCCAGACAGTAACATACAATCAGTTATCATTAACAGTAGGTTATTAACTCTACCATCATATTAGGTCTACTATATCGCAAGATAAAATATTAGTCTGTAAAATAAATGTTATTTCAGCTTTATAAAGTTTTATATTATGAAATTCTGACAGATAAATGTCTGTATCAAATTATTTTATGTATCACATGGAGATCTAAAGGCACTGTCTGTTGTTGCAGACGTTAAAGAATTAGATTCAACAACAAGTCAGGGAGTCTCAACTTTCAGCCTGACTGCTGGTTGTATATTTCTTTCTAACACCAGTCCTGACACTTGTTGCCTATATATGACTTTATTAACTATGTTTGTTGCTTTCATTCATCAGGTCAAACATCTGACAAAACAACCAAGGAGACAGACATGTTATTTACTACTTCCCCAGCAACGGATGGAGCAGGTCAGTCTAAACCTTAAAATAAACTTCAGTTGTACTTAAGTATATTTTAATTTGTCAGAGATGCAGCAATTGACAGCTGTGATCTAAATTTTGCACTCAAATAGGTCTAAATCTAATCAATCTTTTTTATGCCTATATCCAATTGTTCTTTGGCTCTAATAAGGTGTAGACTTCAGCCACTGATGACATTTTGGAAACAACTATTTTTTGAAAGACCCCTGAAAACCATAGCCTGTATATACCGGTATTTATAATGTTATGTTTTTCTCCATCAGATCAAACATTTGACAGGACAACAATGAAAACAGACGGTTTCATTTCTCTTTCCCCAGCATCAGATAAGCCTACATTAAGCGGTACAACTAATGATAGAGACTTGCATAAGTCCCTCCTTACAGGTTTGTTCTGTTTTTGCTTTTCTGAAGCATTATTATCACCGGGTTCGGTTTGGTCGCTTCGTCCCTGGCCACCGGGGCTCTCGGACCAGCCCCGGAGCTCACGGCTCAGTTCGAATGCCTGGTCCGTCCCAGTCAGCCGCCCAGCACAAAAACCATAAAAATAATCCATGCCTGTTGAGTCTTCGGACCCATGGGAAGACTGAAAATTTTCCCTTTTCTCCGTGAAGCCTGAGACAATGCATTACTGAATGTCAATTTCGGTGCATGACAAAAGTACGGGCCAGAACCAAATAAGGCAACATCCCCACATTGACGTCAATTCGGTGCTTCGTTTGAATTCACCCGTCTTATGGTGGAGGTTTAGAATTGTGAGATTTGCAGAGATAGGAGGTGTCAATGGGGTTTGAACTCTTCTGTACGTCCATTTCACCAGCTGAACTATCGTTATTCATCTTTGACAATGTAAACTCGGTTTTGCATTCTATGACCCCTTTAAATAATAAAAGAAAGTTTCACATTTCTAAAATGCATGTTAAAATGCCCTATAAATGGGTGTAAAACACTACATGTGCCTTTTTTTCTTTCTGTCCCTGCCATTCAAAAGTCTGTGCACTCTGCTGCACTATTTACCAGAATAGTGAAAAACAACAGAAAGTTTAATAGCATGTTTGATGGAATTAAATTAACCAGATCTTAATTAATGAACCCCTTTGTGTTCATTAACTTTTTTCCATTATTTTGTCTTGAGATATGGCTTCAAAATGTCCGCACTGTTTTATTTCCTCATGAATGCAACTATTTGCAAAGTCCACCATTCATTTTAGCAGCAAACAATATTTTTGTTCCTTTTTCCATTTGCAAACAGAAATGTTATTTTTTACAATAATTTTTGGTGGCACATGTTGGTACAGAACAATTTAACAGCTTAAACCAACATTTTGTCAAGAGCTTTAGCTTTGGTTCTGGTATTGACTCCAACAGTTGACACTAAACACATTGATCTGTCCTCCTTCGTGAAGACTAATGGCTGACCATCCTCATGCTCTTTCTGTAGGATTTTTTAAGTAAATTAATTTGTCACTTTTCCATAGAGCTGTTCCAAACAAAATTTCTTTTTGTTTTACACTTCTCTAAACAAATGTTGACAATCTGTCTAAGTCTAGGCATAGGTAAATTGTACCCAAGGATGGAGTAGAAAAGTTGAGGTTAGTCCATATCTTTGCCCAGAAAATGTTTTTTTACATACTAAACTGTTTATGGAATTCATTAAATTTAAATTAAGCATCTGGTTTCTTCATTGGTAAAGTAAATTTAACATTCAGGGATTTTACAACTCAAAATACTTCAAAATATCTTTAATCTGCCCATGGTTACAAAATGAGGGAAAAGTCAACAATTCTTTAACATTTCTGTGCAAATTGTTCTTTGCATTGTTTTTACCAATCAAGAATATCTATTTTAACTTTGTATTTTCCAAAGTAAAGGTTAGTTAATAAGCTACTATATCTATATATTCTCTACCTTTTTTTTTTTTTTACCATTTGGGAAGTAAGACTGACTCACTGTGGTATTGTTTTCCTAAAAACAGAACAGAAATTTCCTCCTAAATGGTTGTCAGTTCCACCTGGTGTTGGAGTAGGTGTGGGAATGTTACTCATAGTGGGACTTCTCTGTTCCAGAAGGAGAAGTGGTGAGTATTGACACCAGTGATGTCTCTGAAAGTGTTTCTATGCCATTAAAGTTACCACCCATTTTTGACACCCTTCATCAATCTTTCATCCGTTTGATACTCATGCAGTCTTGGTCAAGTAAAAATCTGCCCTTTATAGAAATATGTTTTTTATTAGTTTAATGCTTTTACAAATGTTTTGTAATTTTTCTAGTTTGGAGGAAACTAATTGTTTGATAAAATATAATTTGGCTCCATATGGTTCCTTTTTGTGGACTTGCGTAAACTATGTAATCCACACAAGCTCAAAATTAAACCCTGTGGATCATCCTTACCTTCTCAGTTTTAAAAATCTGCTAGCTTTTTCTAGCCCTGACTAAGATTGTGGGATATTTTATGGTTGGATGTTTTATAATTAGTATTGGAAGACACAAAACATACTGAAATCAAAAGCTCAAAGACTTTCGCTTAGTTTTTTTTAAAGATATTTTGACACCTATAGGCCACCACAACCCAGGGCAGGTGGTGGCCTAGTGGTTCCTAGAGCTTGGAATCCTGAGGTCTGAGTTTGAGCCCCACAGATTGCCACTCAGGGTCCCTGAGCCAGATCCTTAACCCCAGACTACTCCTTGGGTGCCGCACAATAGCAGCCCACTGCTCCCCAAATGACAATAAAACACTGAGGAATCTCACTTCTTTGGGCTTACACTAGAGCACTGCCTTACTCTAGAGCAGGGGTGTCAAACTGGTTCCAGAAAGGGCCATGTGGATGCAGGTTTTCTTTCCAACCAAGCAATAGCACACCAGACTGTTAAATATGATAACCAGAGTCTGGTGAGCTACTGCTTGGTTGGAAAGAAAACCTGCTCTAGAGCATCACTCTAGTGCGGGGATCTGCAACCCGCGGCTCCGGAGCCACATGCAGCTCTTTAGCGTCCCCCTTGCGGCTCCCTGGAGCTTTTTCAAAAATGTATGAAAATCGATTTTTTTATTTATTTATTTTTTTTATATGGTGTGTAGGAGGTCAAACAAAAATGAATGATGTTTTCCAATGCTGTAAACATCTGTATAATAAATAAATGTAAACAATAATTTGCGTCATAGCCATAGAGATCAGTGGTCATAACAACAAGGAACTCTGGTAACAGAGAAAGTGGGATTTCAGGGTTAGAAAGCACTGCTCTGATGGATGTCAGTTCCTGCTTGGTTCCTCATTGACTCAATCAACTCCTCCCAACAGAAACACATCCAACATAGAAAGATTCCTTTCTCGTGTTTCTTAAATTTCATCAATGCAACAAAACCCGCGTGGAGAAGGGCAGTTAAGCGGCGCGCGGTGAGAGCATTCACAGCTCCTTCTTCACCTTATGCTGCTATGTGACATTTGCTCCAGGATAAACATTTAATCATGAATTATTATTATACTGTATATATATATATATAAGCCCACATAGTAATTTTCTATAGTGGGCTAATACACTTGGAGCCCGTGTTTCCAAACAAGGCTTATATAAGACTTTTACATTTTTGCAGCTCCAGACAGATATATCTTTGGTCCAGTATGGCTCTTTTAGCAGTTGGGTTGCAGACCCCTGCTCTAGTGTGAGCAGACACCTTGTGAATAAGTGTCAAAAGGTCCTCAGAAAAACTGAGTGAAAGTCTGGTTGCCTCCGATTTAAAACTGTTTTGTGGTTCCCATGAACTAGATGACTGAGAATTAACAAAGGTATTATTAGCTAAATATTAGTCTGCTTGCAGGTTTGATGTGTTGCAACATTTTGTTGCAATTTGTTTAAAAATTATGTTTTTTGTCCATATAACTATTTTGCAATGTACTAATATCTCTGGCTGTTAAATATGATTTAAATATGATAATGCCCCTGCCATGACTCATAGTTGATACAGTGCTCTTAGCATTGTAAGCCATCTTCGACTACTCGTGCTTTTTGTAATTGTGGCAGCATACTCCTCCTCATCTAATCAAGCTGTATTTTTTTCCATATTGTATTTGGCTAGTGTATGTACTCAGCTCCAAGTTTCAGTTGAGCTTGTAGATGTAAGTTTAAAGCTGAGGTTCATTGCGTGTCTTACACCCTCTCAGTCAATGGCTTTTAAACTGCTTTCAGCTAAGGATAGGTTTCTCTTTCAATGGTTCTTTGGATATTCATCAATGCTCCAACTCCCTCCATATCATATTGAAGGCATAATTGAGGCCAGACACTTTGCAACAGAGCCATTCATATCAATCAGACATGAAAATAGTTTTTCTGAATGTGTCAAGATAAAGCATAAAAATAGTCCTAATAGGCCTTGACCTTCATACTACAGTGGATTTGATTAATCTTCTGTAAAATAATAAATGTACCAACAAAAAGGTTTATAATAACCATATCAATTTATTTTTAAAAATGATCAGTTAAATATTTAGACATAGGAATGCCAGGGGCATATAAATGCTGCAGTTTTTGTGGTTAAGGTGCAACTTGCTTTGGTACTTATTCAAACAGTTATTTATTTTTATGTTCGTATTCAAACTATTATGTACAATTTGGACCCTTCGTTTGATTTGGGAATGTCCAATATAAAATTCAAACTCATGTACACTATTCATGTTTTTGAAGCTCTTTGTTGTTTAGTTTTGATGCCTATGGGGGAAACAGCTAAATACAATTTTTAAAAATCCTTAAGAAATATTTTTATTTTTTATTTAACCTTCATTTAACCAGGAAGTCCTATTGAGATTCAGAATCTCTTTTTCAAGAGAGACCTGGCCAAGGTAGCAGCCAAACCACAGGAAGTTAAATAACATCAATGCCCATGAAGATGAATACCTCTGATCAAAACTTGGAATTTTCCCCTTGAATTCAATTGCCTATTTGCCTTCTTTTTTTATAGAATCATCACATTACATAGTGCAACCAATTCAATGATAGCATTTTAAGAAAATGATACTTCAGGTTAATTGAACTGAATGCTTCATAAAATTTGTTATATTATATGTCTCATGCATTTCATTTTTTTTTGTTTTCTTGTTTTGTTATTTGTCAGCTAAATATGCACACAGAAGGTAAGACCCTTTTCTCTTACCATGAACTTTCACATTAAGTTTGTCTTAACTGCAGGAAAACTTCTTGTTCTATTTAATCATGATTGAAATTGGACATGTCAAGTCTGTACTACTGTTTTTTCCCCCAGGATTAAACTATTTATTAGCTGAACTGTGACAAAAATTACACAACTGAAACAACTCTTTAGTTGTTAAATTCTAGAATTACATTTCAAGAATTGCATTGCTTAAAGTCGTAGTCATATTAAAATGTCAAATCATTCTGGCTTAAACATTTATATAAATGTACTTTTTATCAGATGATATTGTCCCAAAAGTTTGAAAATTTCTATAAAAAAAATCCTGTAATAAATCTATGGGTTTTTTTTTTCATTATTTTATGCAGGCCTGTTAATTATATGTCAGCTTGTACACCTAAATTCTGCCAATCATATATCGACGA